GAATATAAGCCCTGCATAGTGCATAATCGTGTTTTTGTTGATTAAAAAATAGGAAAAAACATTAGATGCTTCAAATGGTTGCAAAATACGTGTTCAGCCAGATGCGATCAACTGTCAGAGCTGTGCAATATACGAGAATATGCTAGCCGAAAGGGACAGTTGCATGAAACAAATGAGTTATTCGTTTATATCTCCTTATCGAACAAGATGTACAGCCACATATAAATAATAGCATATTCAAAAATAATGCGCACCGCTACTGTTCACATTCTGATTTCAAAAGCAGTAAAATAATAAAGATAAATGCACAGTTAATATTTAGGCCAAAAAAGGAATCCAACAATACTAAAAAGGCAAAGTTTGCTACAAACCTCCCAAAGCTGGGGCCAACGTGACAATACCAAGTTCCTCCGTATTTCGCGTCACAATGTTCCTTCACTCGTCGGCTGAGGTTTTGCGGGTACGTGGCATTCTGTTCATCCTCTTTTATGTACTGCGTAATAAAGTTCGTAATTTCCTCTCTTTTTGAGTTAGACATGTCGCCTCCAACATTCTTGACAATAGATTCATCTGACATTGTATTCATCTTGAAGGCAGGTTAGTCTTCCCCAAACTCTGTTTCCGTTACTGAGGTAACTGACAGGGATGTAAACCAACGTATATGTTTTCAGTTCGCCTCACCTCCAATCAGGTGTGCGCATTCAAGGACTCTGATGAATTAAATTAGCAGACCTATGTCACATTCTTTCACAGGCTCCCTAATGCATCACCCACTTGCTTTCCGCCGTTTCAGTTTTGTCGAACTCCTCAAGCAATGATTGGTATTCGCTGTGCTGTAGGAAAAAGACTGCAACCCTCTTGACTGATTCGATATCAATCTCCAGTCTTAACAAAGCGATGACTTGGTAGTAGCTAAATACGTGCATGATCTCATGACTAAGGCATCTTCCCCACCTTTCAAAATATCAGATTTAGAGGCCTAAGTCCAGTACGAATTTGCGGCGTTCCACATACAAGTGACGTAGGTCATCTCTGAACTGTCAGCTACTTCGGAAAGCTACCGCGACTTTAAGTACCGGATAGCTGACCGATCCGCCCAAATGGGATGAACCCAAAAGAAAAAACCTATTCAAGTGGGATCCCACT